GGGGGCACCCACCCAAAAAATTTTTGGCGACCTCCCCCCCCCCGGTCGCCACTTTCAAAACATTCGAAAATAGCGACAATAACAGCGCCGCAGGCGAAAAATTTTTGAAAACCGCGTTGGTAACGCTTAAATTCGTGTGAAAACACATCGGAAACGGCGCGCGCAAGCGAAATTTTGTTCAGCAAAAATGGTGCACTACTGAAAACGAGCGCCGCAGGCAAAAAATTTTAGGAAAATAGGTTTTCTAGAAGTAAAAATGGTTTCGAAACAGTGATAAACAGCGCGGCAGGCAGAAAAATTTCTGAGGAAAAATCCTAAGGGTTCCCCCGGTAAGTTTTGCCTCGCCCCATAGATTTTGCCTCTGAAAGGTTTCGCTATTTTCGCCATTTTGATCGGGTTTTTTAAACGCCATTCGATAGAGCGTCAAAAAATATACGTAGAGTTTTAATTTAAGCCTACAATAATGTAAAATAAGCCTCGCAGGCAAAATGTTTACAAATAAAATTGATACATTCCGGAAAACTAGCGCTGCAAGAGAAAATTTTTGGAAAAATTGGTTTTATTGCAGTTTAAATTGTTTTAAAAACAATAATAAATAGCGCCGCAGGCAGAAAATTTTTTATGAAAAAATCATAAGGGTCCCCCCTTATGAACTTTTCGGACCTCGCCCGATTTCGGGGGGGGCACCGTGCCCCCGGTGCCCCCCTCGTACGGGCCTGGCCATAGCTTCCTCAGCTTTAATCAAACCGCACAAATTTAGGCGATTTCCGGCGTGCTTCAAAGCCAGGGCTTCTGCGTGGTGATTGGAGATGATCCCGCGGCGGTAGCGAAGGTTAGCTGACTTATCGATTTACGAGTATTTCACGAGTTGTAGATGCTCCACACCTTGGCGCTGTTCATCCCGGCCGAATTTCGGTGGAACTGCCTGCGCTCGCAGAATGGGCCCTACTCACCGTATGTACGGCTGCAGACGGTACCAAGGGTTGGTTTCTCTCTCTCTCTCTCTCTCTCTCTCTCTCTCTCACTTTCTCTCTCCTCTCACTCTCTCTCTCTCTATTCTCTTATTAAGCCCTGAATTTTCAGCAAGAACTCCCCGAAGTCGTACTCCACGGCGCTGGCTGCGAGTGGCCACTATGCCTGATAGACTTGGACCGGAAAAAAGTCTGCCTCTCGTCCAGCTACTCAAAGCATCGGCTGCTTAAGCGCAAGGTGAGCACAAGATTTCAGGCCGAGGCTGAGGCTGGTGCTTAGGCTCAGGTCAAGCTCAGGCTCTGGTTCAGGCTTAGGCTCAGGCTCAAGCCTAGGCTGACGCTCAAAGGTCTTAAGATCGTGTTATCTGATCCGCGCTTTCAGCTCGACCTGCACGGCATCCAGTCAATCCTTGAACAGCTCGGCCCGGCCTCCCGGAGCAAATTTCGCCTCGAGCTCAGCCCGGTCAAGACGATCGAGTGCGTGCGATGGCTCGTTCGCCACCTCGAGCTCCTTCCGCCTGAAGAATCGGCTAGAAAGGTGAGGCCTTCTCTCTCTCTCTCTCTCTCTCTCTCTCTCTCTCTCTCGCTATCTCTCGCTTTCCAGGGCCTCATCAACCAATTCCTCCTCTTCATCAAGAATTCCGCGCTGGCGCTGATCGAATCTGTCCGGGCGTCAAGGTGAGTTTTCGAGCTGTCGCCATCCCTTTAAGACTACAAACTATAGTACTTGGCTATCAGCATACCCTTAAAAATCCAACTTTGATTTTTAGCGAGCCACTCCCAAACGAAAAAGAATGCGGCGCGCGCTCGGCCCAATTCTCCCTCTCCGACGTCCGCAAATCGCTCGACCTGACGAACGACGGCCTCTTCCACGCCGTCCTCGCCAAGGCCGAGCTGCTGAAGCCGCAGATCGCCGAGTTCATCTACCAATAATCAACACATACTTTGCACAAATTTGTATATCCTTTCCCACCCCACACCTCGCCAAGCTTTATCTCTTTCTGCGACCGATTTTGGTTGTCTCTCCCCCTTTCTCATCGCGCTATCCCAAAAAGAGACTCTCTAGTCGCTGGTCTATCTCTTTCTTTCGTTTCTATCTCAAAATCTACTATTTCCCTTTTATCGCCCGATTTCTTTATCATGTTTTACATCGGTTTTTTATGTTTTTAAAGGATCAAACCCCCAGAACCTGTTCGTGATGATGTTGTGTGCCTTTCCCATACTCAGTTCACCTCCAAAAAACCGAAACGTGTCCCCGGCCTCAGCCTTCTTCCAAAACCTAGCAAAATACGTCTTATTCTGTGCCTTAGATATCATTTTTTGGCAATAAAGTTTTATACCTGTACCTAAGCCTAAGCTTGGCTTACTTCAGGAGTCTGCTTAGCTAGGCTGCTTGAGAAGCCTGAGTTCGAGCTCCCTCAAAAAATAAGCCAAGCCGAAGCCTAAGAATGCGGGAAGCCTGCTGCCTAGGTCTGGCTTCAATCCAAGCCAAGCCTGAAGGGAAACTGTAGCCAAAAAGCCGACCAACGCTGAGCCCTACGTCTTGCACCAAGCTAACCTAAGCCTAAGCCAAAATCTAAGCGAAGCCTTAACCTACGCCTAAGCCTAAGCCTAAGCCTAGACCTAAGCCTAACTCTAAGCCTAAGCCAGGCCTAAGGGTAAGCCTGGACCCAAAGCCAAGCCTAAGCCCAAGCCTTTCCGAAAGCTGCTCATGATGCAATCTCTGACTTCCGCGCTTTCTATAGTGTACTCCCTGCACTTGCTGTAACGCTACGACTACAGAATCCAGACGCCGGGGGTTTAGAACTCGACGCTACAAAACAGAATCCGGCACAACACGGCCGTTTCGGCCGTTTCAGGCACAAAGCACACAAAAGAACGTCTCGGCAAACAGATGGAAGGGGGAAACGGGTCCAATGGCCCGGCAGAAGAAGTGGAAAAAGAAGGAGGGGAAGAAGACTGTATTACCCGGGATTGTATGTTGTGGGGATTATTTTGTCGTGCGTTTGGACTTGTAGAGTTCAATTTTTTCAGCATATAATTTTATCAAATTGCTAATCACGCGTATCCTATCCAGTTTTGAACGGCTTCGCAACGCTTGGAATTCGACGAAGATCGCTTGCGAATTTTACATCGCGCCTTATCACGGCCATTGCCCAAGGTTTCATGATGTTGGGAGGAAATAAAAAAAAATCATAAATCTCTCTGTCTCAATCTCTCTCCCTCTCGCTCTCTTACTCTCTCTCTCTCTCTCACGCTCTCTCTCTCTCTTTCCCTGTTTCTCTCGCTCCTATCTGACATTCTCTGTCTATCTCGTTTTCTACCGCTTTCCCTCACTTTATCTCTCTATTTCCCTCGCTCTCGCTCCCTTCCTCTCTCTCTCTCTCTCGCTCTCCCTCTCTCTCTCGCTCGATCTCTTTCACTGTCTCTCCCTCCCCCCTCTCTCTCTCTCTCTCTCTGTCTCTAATGCACGCTCTCTCTCTCTGATTATAGGCTATCTCACAAGGTTGGCGAGGGAGAGAGAAAGAAGGATCGAAGAGAGTCAGCGTGAGAGAGAGAGAGAGGGAGAGACAGTGAAAGAGATCGAGCGAGAGAGAGAGGGAGAGAGCGAGAGAGAGAGAGAGAGAGAAAGAAAGAGAGAGAAAACGGACCCGTGATGCCGATTTGCATAATGCCGATTTTACGGAAAGTGAAGATCGGCATTTGTGAAATCGGCATTATTATAACGGGCATTAAGAAAATAAGCTTTATGTAAAATCGGTGTTATAATAACCGACATCGTGAAAATCGGCATTAGGTAAGTCAATTTTGGCGCTTCCTAGTCCCTTTAAAAACCAAAGAACCATTCCCCAGACAAATTGTTTTCTCTGCCCATTCCAACCCGCCGTCGGACCCAATTTTGGATCAGAAAAACGGAGCCCACGGCCTTCCCGGCTACGTTTCCATAGTAATGTAGCGGAAGGGTGGTGGGGGGCTTTCCCCACCTTGGGGGGGGGGGGCTACACAAAAATATGCACGCGCGCTGTGGGGGTGTTTTGACGGCTTCATGCCATGCGCCATCGGCACGGGCCCAATTTGTTTTCGCCGTCCGGAAAGTCGGCGTGCACTTTTGATCAAAAAATTGCGCCCGGTGTCTGCTTTTCGGTTGATTTTAGCGGCCATTTTGCCGATTTCCTGTCTCGGCTGCTCTCTCTCTCTCTCTCTCTCTCTCTCTCGATTTCTCGCGCCGGCTCATTTGCCTATCTTCATGTATTTTCTAAGTTACGGTTTCTGCCCAACTTTTAGAAAAGCCGGCTCTTTTGCATTATCGGGGGTGGGAGTTAATTTTACCGGAATCCAGAAATCGTTAGTAAAGTAATAGTAAGTATTTCAAACTTGTTTTTAGTAAAATTTGAATTATATTTCAAGTGCAAATCTATCTCAAAAACGGAGAAGATTTTGAAATTCAGGCCGAAAAAGCCCTATTGTTGTTTTGTTTAGATAATATTCGTAAAGTTTTTACGTTTAATTCGCCCTAAGGCAAAAAAATTGGTCCCCCGATAATGCAAAAGTACCACAACCCCAAACAGCTCCATTTATTGGCGAACTGACGATACGGTATTGACGGCTATCTCTCCTTCTCTCGCGCGTTCTCTCTCTCGCTTTCTCTCTCTCCTTCTTTATCTCTCTCACTCTCTCTCTCTCTCACTCGCTCTCTCTCTCACTCTATCTTTATCTGGCGCGCTATCTCTCACTCTCTCTATCTCTCTCTCGCGGTCTTTCTCACTCTCTCTTCCTATCTCTTTCTGTCTCTCTCTCACTCTCTCTCTCTCTCTCTCTCGCTATTTCTCTCGCTGCCTTCTCTCGCAACATTAAAATTTGCATCCAATACCTATTTTTGGCGATTTTTTTGCCCCAAAAATCGCCTGCATAAAAACCGGAGCTACGATTGATAGAGACGATAGAACGAATCCCACCCTCCCGCCCTCCCTCTCTCAAATATTTGCAAGCGCTATAGAACGCGGCAAACGCCGAGTCCGTGACGCACCTATGGACGCGTGGAAATGGAGGTTTCGCACAAGTACGCGTTGTACTAACGACGAAGCCGGACTATGTTGAATTGTGCAATTTTTCGAAAGCGAACAAAGAGAAAGCGCCGTTTTTAAAGACCCCCGTAAGCATCTGTGGCACCCTTTCCCAATGACTCGGTTTCGACAGCTACGCGACACTGCAAAACACGACAGTCACGTATTCATAGCCATGGAGGCTGCAGCTGTCGAGACCTAGTCGTCGGCATGAGTCGATTTTCGTGCTTTTCGAGAAAAGCCCTTCGCCGATAACACAACACACCAAAACTCGCGTGCAAGCGCGTTTTGATCCGCACAAAAATCTCACGGAGCGCGCTAGGAAGACTAGATTTTCATGTGTCCTTGTCGTGTCACGCAGCTGTCGAGACCTGCCGACGCCGGAGCCGATTCTCACGTTTCCCAGCCCCTTAAAACGGTTTCGTTTGGTCGTTGGAAGACGTCAGATTGGCCCTTTCCTGGGCGCGTCGAACGCTTATCGCCAAAGGTGCAGAGCGCCGGCTGGTTGCCCGTGCTTTGTTGGGCGCGTCTGAATCACTTTCCTCGGCCCGCCTTGGCATTGGCACATTGATTCACCCCGCAGAACGTGCAAACTTTTTGGTCGTCTACTCGAAACCGGGTTCAACTCGGCGGATTTGTGGTGGCGGCTAAATTTAGATAGTCGGGCGTGCTTTCGCTGTGCTTTCGCTGTGCTTTCCTCTCTTTCTCTCTCTCTCTCTCTCTCTCTCTCGCTCTGTCTCTCTCACTTTCTCTCACTCTCTTCCTCTCTCGCTCTCTCTCTTGTCTAGCGGGCAGGCTAGCAGAGGTTATTGGAGGAAAAACGCGTGTATTTATCTCTCGCCTCTCTCTCGCTCGCTATCTCGCTCTCTCCCGCTCTTTCGCCCTCTTTTTCTCGATATGTCTCGCGCTCTCTTTATCTCGTGTCGTTCTCCCGCTCCCTCTATCTCTTGCTCTTTCTCACCCTCTCTCTCACCAATCTCTCGTTTTCAGAGACATTTCCGATCCCTCGAGGCGTCTTAGACCGCCCAATGGGATGCCCTCCCACCATCACAAATCGTCATCCCTATGGGTGCCAGGCGCGTTTTTCAAGTTTAAAGGAAACGTCAAGCAGGCTAGCAGAGATTCTCTAGGAAAGAGCAGCTCAGAAGAGGGTTTTTGACGGGATTTTCGAGGATTCGAGTTTAATCTGAAACCTTTCCAGCTCGGCCACCGGTAGCGCAGACGCTGACCACCACCCTCAACCCGCTGCCCTTCTTCCAACGGGAGCAGCAGCTCGAGACCGAGTACGTATCTCTCTCTCTCTCTCTCTCTCTCTCTCTCTCTATCTCACTATCTTACCCTCTCGCACCCGATACAAAAAGGAAGGCTAGCTAGCAGAGATTCTTTAGACATTCCTTCAATTTCAAATTTTCAGCAGTCTCCGCCAGGTGCAACCCAACTCCGTGCACCCGTCCCCCCACCGATACGCCTGCCCCAACTTCGACCAATACCCCAACAATCGAATCTCGACTACGAAATACACCGTGTACACGTTCTTGATCAAAAACCTCTGGGAGCAGTTCCACCGATGGGCCAACTGGTTCTTCATTGTTATCATTTGTAAGTGTGGTTTTTGTATATGAAGTTCAGGAGGCTTAGGCGTAGGCTTCGGCTTAGACTTAGGCTTAGGCTTAGGCTTAGGCTTGGGCTTAGGCTTAGGCTTAGGCTTATGTTTAGGCCTTGGCTTCGTCTTGGCTTAAGCTCCGCTTGGGTTTCGGCCCAAGTTTAGGCTCAGGCTTCGGCTTCGGCGAACGTTAAGCTTAGCTTTGGCTGACACTTAGGCACAGGCCTAGCTTTGGCTCAGCCTTAGGTTTAGGCTTAGGCTTAAGCTTAGGCTTAGGAAAACAGGGATTCAACTCCGTGTTTTGGCGCGTTTTTTTTCGACACCTAGTCGATGGTAAGGGTGGAATTTCGGTCTTGCAAGTGGTTTCAAAGCCTAAGAACGGACAGAGGCGTCGCCATTTCCTCAAGAATCTCTGCTAACCTGCCCCGTTTTCAGTCCTGAACGCCTTCAAAATATTTGCCGCCTTCAACCGATTCCTCGGCATCATTCCGGTGGCCTGTATTCTCGTCGCTACCGCGATAAAGGTAAAAACAATTTTTTGGACTTTTTCCATTCCGTTTGTGTCTTTTTGCACTGTAGCAATCAAATTTAGGACATTTTCGAAGATCTGCGCCGCTACCGCCTTGACAAGAAGATCAACGAGTCGACGTGTTTGGTCTGGGATCAGTGAGTTTTTGCTTGGGATAGCCGGGTAGCAGGCTAGCCGAGAGCCTTTAGGAATGAAAATCGCTGCCTAGAGAACCCCTTTAACTTTCCCGCCTTTCCAGTGTGCATCTACAGTTTCGCCGGATGCAGTGGCAGCACATTCTCGTCGGCGACTACGTGCACATTTCGAATATGGAACCGTTCCCGGCCGATATTTTGCTGCTACGGTCTTCTGAAGCTACGGTACTTTGCTGTCTGCGTAGGCTTGGCTTAGATTAGGCTCAGGCTTAGGCTTAGGCTTGGGCTTAGGTTTAGGCTTAGGCTTAGGCTGGGCTTAGGCTGGGCTTAGGCTTAGGCCTAAACTTAGGTTTAGGCTTAACCTTGGGCTTCGGCTTAGGATTCGGTTTGGCTTAGGCTTCAGCTTAAACCGTTCTCTGTAGGCTTCAGCTTAGGCTTAAGCTCAGGGCTTAAGCTCAGCTACAGCCTCGCTTCAGCTTAGCAAGCTTTTTTGGAGCACCTACTCCTGTAATTTAAAGCCATTTTTAGGGAACTTGCTTCATCGAAACTTCAAATTTGGACGGGGAGACGTCGCTGAAGCAGAAGAACGTCCCGAAGAGTATCGTGCATTTGTCTGAGGTGAGCGACCAAAGGATTTCATCTAGCTTGCCAGACCTCCTGAAGAATCTCTGCTAGCCTGCCGGGTTTCCTAAAGAATCTCTGCTAGCTTGCCGGTACCGACCAGAGCTCGTCCTCCTTAAATTTATTTGTCAGCTCGCTCCATTTCCCCAAAGAGCCCTGCCACCCCTCCCAATTCCAGGACCCGAACGCCAATTTTGACGAGATCGCGCCCAAGCTGCCAGTGGAACATCGTTGTATGCACCCCTCCAAGAGCCTCCAGGAGATGTACGGCTTCGTCGAGTCGGCCAAGGGCGACAAGGACAATTTTAGTAGGTCTTTTATTCATCCTCAAGAAACTCTCCTAGTCTTGAAAAAAGCCAATTCCGTTTTCAGCCAAAGAACACATGCTGTGGCGAGGGTGTCGACTCCGGAATACAACATTTGTTGAGGGGATCGTACTGTATGCTGGTAAGGGTCAAGTGTAAGGCTTAAGCTTAGGCTTAGGGTTAGGCTTGGGGTTAGGTTTAGGCCTAGGCTTGGGCTTGGGCTGAAGCTTGGCTTCAGATTAGGCTCAGGCTTGGCTTAGGCTTAAGCTTAACTATTTCATTTCAGGTGGCGACACCAAGGTGATGTTGAACAACGGGCGACCCAAGGCAAAACGCTCCCAAATCGAGCTCCTCACAAACAAGTTCATCCTCTTCTGCTTCCTGATCTTGATCGCCATGTGTGAGTGAGACCGAGAGAGAGAGAGAGAGAGAGAGAGAGAGAGAGAGAGTAAAAGAGGAAAAGAGGCACGGCAGGCGAGCAGAAACCCTTGATTTTCAGGCATGGTCGGTTCGATGGGAGCAGCCATTAATGCAGCAAATGTCGACCACCAGAATGTCACCTCGCCATTTCAGGTAAAATCCGAAAAAGATATGCAAAAATTCCCTCCTCTTCAGGTGATCCAGGACAAAAAGTGGTGGCTGGATGGGTTGACCAGCATCGGCACTTTCATCATCAACTATCAGGTTGGGCTTGAGCTTGGGCCTAGGCTTGGCTTAGGCTTAGGCTTAGGCTTAGGCTTGGACTTAGGCTTATGCCTGACGACGGTGTAATTTCAGGTGATGGTCCCCCTCTCACTCTACATCACCGTCGAGCTGATCAAGCTCGGGCTCGTATTTCTGATGCAACAAGATGTGCATTTGTATTATGATGGAAAGGTAGAAAATTTGGACTTTGAGGTGAAGGGGGCTAGCAGAGATTCTTTAGAAAGGGGCAGGCTAGCAGAGATTTTTGGGAATTTTTTTTAGACCCGTTTCCTGTTTTAGGACCAACGAGTGCAAGTACGAAATCTGACGATCCCGGAGGAGCTCGGGCAGATCACCCACGTCCTCAGCGACAAGACCGGGACGGTCACGGAGAACGTGATGCTGTTTAGGAGGTGGGGCTCTCCCTCCCTCTCTCTCTCTCTCTCTCTCTCTCTCTCTCTCTCTCTCTCTCTCTCTCTCTCTCTCTCTCTCTCCCTCTCTCTCTTTCTATCCATTTCATTTTCAGGTGCGCTTTCGACCACTTTGACTACGGTATGCCGGCTGGGATACATGCGCACGTAAGTTGGAGTGCTTTGTAACATCTTTGCAATGTTTAGGGACCATTTCCTGCCTTCCAAGCCCCTTTAATTTGCTACAGTATCCAGAAAACATCCACTTTTTAGCACCGCGCCCCGTCCTCCGGTCTCCACCCCACCGACGAGCTGCGACTGCGCGTCTTGTCGACATGGCGAATGGATGAGCATATGCGGTTGGTTTCAGAGGGCCAGCTAGCAGAGATCATTAGTGAAAAGTTGTCCAACCGGGCAAGCTAGCAGAGACCATTTGGGAGATCATCGTGAATCCTAGGAAAGCTAACATAGGTTATTTTCAGAGCTCATTTTCTTGGCAAGCTAGCAGAGATTGTTGCGGATCAGCGGCTCTCATCCACGTTTTTCCAGGCATTTCTTCACCAATCTCGCCTTGTGCAACACCGTGGTTGTCAACAGACAGCATAAGGATATGTTGGACGTGAGTTACGAGCAGGATTTGTAGTTTGTAGTCTAGACTCTAGAGTTTGTAGTCTAGGGGTCCGTATTCCTCGGTTTGGAAAGGGCGGACCGTTGCGCGGGGGAAAGGGCGGACCTGGAGATGTGCCTGCCCCCAGGCCCGCGCAATCTGGAAAGGGCGGACCGTTGCGCGGCTCTCCGGATTGCGCGGGCCTGAGGGCGGCTCTCGCGGCAAACGGGCCGTAGCTGGGCTTTTCCCTCTTTAAAACGTTTAAATTACGTATTAAACCCGCTTTTTAGCAGGTTCGATTGCTCGGGACCGATGCAAGGAAGGTGATGAGTCTATTGTATTTATATCACGACACTGCATTGGAAAATCACAATAGAACATAGAAAAAAAAATATGGGTATTTCATCCTGCGAGTAGAGTTGCCCGGTGAAGATGTCCTGAAAATCGCTTACAGGCCTCTTCCCTAATTAGATTGGGTTTGGTCTGGTTTAAATTATATTTTATTTAATTATAAATTAAACATTATTATAAATTTGCTAAGTAATAGATGCCAAGGCAGGATATATATTTGTCGATTTATAGACTAAATTTTAGACCTACTTTCGTTGTGACGGATCTGAACTAGAACCCCTGAAAAGCATATTTTTTATTGATGATTCGTCGAATAAGATCTTGACAAAACTTACCCTCAGACGAACGACCTCCTGATAATGCAAAAGCACCCAACAATTTATATTTCACGTACCTGTTTCTCGCGCCAGTCGGTCGGATTCCGCGCGGCGTTGCCAAATCTTCCAAATCTGCTTCTTTCCTCGCGGGCAGAACCCTAAATAACTACGTAACTAAGAATAGAAAAACATAAAACGACGAAAAAGACCTGCGAAAAATTACTCACCGGCGACTCCCTAGTAGATGCGGCGTTTGCCTCGAAATCGGCCTTCCCCTAAACAAACAGGTCATTTCCAAGAACTAAATACCTCTGACTCGACGAGATCACTTGGCGTTTTCGGCACGTTGGCGCGTTTTCGTGCGGCGTATCTAAAATAAGCTTTAATAATACAATATCGCTAGAAGAACAAGGCAAACGCGACATTTTGATACCCTAAATTCCCACAACTATGGCAATTTTGATCGCCAAGCCAAATAAAAGGAAAACAAACCAATATCCTGTCGATCCGTCGCACGCCTGGGCCATAGAAGCATCGATCATTCCTGAATTCACAAAGAAACCCGATAATTTCAAACAGCTTACCGCGCTTTCTTGCTGTGTCACCGGCCAGCGCCAGGCGGTCGAAATTTGCAGCTCGCCCTTGCCCAGGATCATCAATCCGGTTCTGTTCTATTTCGCGGGGGGGAAAAAACTGTGCGGGGGGGAAATTTTCTTCGTTTTGTTATAACTCTTTTATATTTTGCTATTTTGAGTTGTAATTAAAACTCTTAGTATATTTTTTGACGCTCCATCGAATGGCATGAAAGGAATTTTTAAAAAATATCCAAAATGTCGAAAAATAGCTTTCGACGCCACGATCCCATGTGGAAACACCGTATAAACCTTGTTTTTGCTATAACTATTTTATAAAACAATATTTTGAGATGAAATTAAAACTCTTAGTATATTTTTTGATGCTTCATCGAATGACTGGTTCAAAAGATCGAAAAAATGGCGAAAATGCCAAAAACTAACATTCCGGAACCAATTTCAATAGTTTTTTTTTGTTTTTGCTATAACTTTTTTATATTACAATATTTTTAGCTAAAACAAAAACTCTTAGTATATTTTTTGATGCTCTATCGAATGGCGTTGCAAAAATCCCGAGAAAATAGCGAAAAGATGGAAAATTGCGCGAAGAAAATTCCCCCCCGCACAGTTTTTCCCCCCCGCGAAATAGAACAGAACCATCAATCCTAAATGCGGCAGCCGTGATCGCTTCTATTTCTAAAAACTAAAACAAAAGCACATTTACAAAAAGAAAAACTCACTTTTATCGTTCTTTTCAGCCCCATCCGAACATCCATAAGGTTGTAGACCTTTAATGTATTTGGAAACTAACCTCGCAGCACATAGAAGTTGTTACGCTGATCATGCCAGATTGAAGAATCATCAAGTAGCATTATAACTAATCGCTATACGAAGTTAGATAAAAATGAAGTGAATTGCCTAAGTTTTAGTTCTTGTACTTTCATGCACTCTGGACGAAATGCGCGGCCCGCGCTTGCTCCGTCCGCGGCCGATTGCGCGGCTGAAAGGGCAGACCCGCGCAATTAGCCGCAGGCGGGCCGCGCATTGGCCGAGAGCCGCCTTCAGGCCCGCGCAATCCCGAGAGCCGCGCAACGGTCCGCCCTTTCCAAACCGAGTCTGGGCTTTATCCTCTGGGGGTTTGTAGTCTATGTCACAACCTGGACGTTCAAATTACCAATTTGTAGCTTCTAGTTTAGGTTGGCCGATACGAGGATGGCGTCTACACCATCGACAACTCGGCATTCTATACCGTGACCGAGGCCGAGTTCCAGGAGAAGCAGGAGAAATTCAGGATTCATAAGGAGCGCGCGATCCGGTTTCATGATGAGAGGTGAGCGAGAGAGAGAGAGTGAGAGAAATTCCTAAATTTCCAGCGTACGAGCAAAAGCCGAAGCCGCGGCGGCCAGGACCGCGACTTCCGACTCCACACTGGATGCCATTACCTCAGGAGACGAGGAGGACGAGGTGGATTCTGACGAGGAGAAGGTATTTAGGGTATTTATTTATTTAGTGGCTACTTGGGCTTAGACTTAGGCTTAGGCTTAAGCATAGGCTTAGGCTTAGGCTTAAGTTTAGGCTTAGACTTAGGCTGAGGCTTAGGCTCAGGTGCAGGCTTCGTAACCTAAAACATTCGAACTTTCAGCCGGGCCAACGTCTCTCCAGGGTCTCCACCTTCTCCCACCGCATCTCCACCGGCATCAAGAACTTCTTGCCACGCATCAGCAGCATGTAAGCGCTAATTTCTGACCAATATATCGTAACCCAGAATCTCCACCCCGGGCTCGTCAATCCGGAAGCGCAAGCACAAAAGGAAGGAGCCCAAGAATAAGAAGAAAGAGAGCCGCTACGAAGCGGAAAGTCCAGATGAGTTGGCGCTTGTTGAGGTAGGATTTCCTAATGGATCTCTGCTAGCCTGCCACTATAGGGCGCCGCTCAGTATGGTTTTGTGCTTGAGGAGCGGGGAGCAACGCACGTGACGTTGCAGCTGCCGGACTCGAAGAAGCAGAGGTAAGTAAAGCTCTCGCTGTTTCTCTCTTTCTGTCTCTCTCTCTCTCTCTCTTTGATCTCTCGCTCATAATCCTTTTACAAGGGAAGGGCACGCTCACAGGGTGGAGTTTCGATAAACGCTCGCGGCTACCCCAGGGTAATCGACCACGGAGGACACGATGCCGTCGTCCGATTTTGCTACGGAGGCCTGTGGACAGAGATACAGCACTTCCGGAAAATGGTGATTTGCATGCAAAAAATTAGCATTCCGGTGAAGCCTTATTAGGCTCTCCCATTTGTATGGAACTACCAGTTGAATGGCCGAGTGGTAAGCAACTAGCTTGATAGGATAGTGACCAGGGTACGGATCCTCTCGCGATTTTTTCGTTTTGCTTTTTGACAACTTTTTTTTGCACAAGTCCAGAACCTTGTCTAAATGTGTGAAAAGCCACCCTTGATGCCGTATGATACGTTCAGCAAACAAACAAAAACTTTTTCGAAAAATTTTATTTTTCCGACCTGCCACCCATCCACCCATCAGCCGATCAAAATTTAACAAAGTTTTTCAAGATTGTTGTCTGACCAATTTTACCCTAACTCTGCAAAAATTGGTCCCCGAAAATTTTTTTGAGGTGAAAGTTGGAAGGTGGATAGGTGGCAGGTCGGAAAAAATAAAAATTTTTCGAAAAAGTTTTTGTTTGTTCGCTAATTGTAAGCGTATCATTCGGCATCTAGGGTGACTTTTGAAACATTTAGAAAAGGTTCTGGACATGTGCAAAAAAAAGTTGTCAAAAAGCAAAACAAAAAATCGTGAGCGGATCCGTACCCTGGTCACTATCCTATCAAGCTAGTTGCTTACCACTCGGCCATTCAACTGGTAGTTCCATACAAATGGGAGAGCCTAATAAGGCTTCACCGGAATGCTAATTTTTTGCATGCAAATCACCATTTTCCGGAAGTGCTGTATCTCTGTCCACAGGCCTCCGTAGCAAAATCGGACGACGGCATCGTGTTCTCCGTGGTCGATTACCCTGGGGTAGCCGCGAGCGTTTATCGAAACTCCACCCTGTGAGCGTGCCCTTCCCTTGTTAGAGTTGAAGTACTCCGCATCCTTCCCTTTGACGCCGACCGGAAACGCATGTCAATCATCGTCAAAGGCCAAGCGGGACCGATCCTGTATACCAAGGTATGGCAAGGTAGCAGAGATTCTTGACGAAAGCGGCCGATCCAGCTAAAAACAATTTTAGGGGGCCGATACTGCAATTCTGAGTAGACTAGCCAAGGAGCCGGAAGCGGACGCGGAATCGGATACAGGTTCGACCTAAGCCTAAACCTAAGCCTAACCCAAGCCCAAGCCGAGCCCAAGCCTAAGCCAAAGCTCAAGCCTAAGCCTAAGCAAAGCCAAGTCTAAGCTTAACCCTAACTAAGCTCAAGCCTTAGCCTAATCATCATTCCTTTCAGAAAGTATCGCCACCTCGGCCATCGCCTCCTCCAGGATCTCGGTGGAACGAGCCGGCGTCCTTCTTGGCCACTACGCCGGAAAGGGATTACGGTAGGAAATTCGTAGCATAAAAACCAGCGTTTACAGTACCCTGGCGTACGGGATGAAAAAGATGACGTGGGAAGAGTATCACCACTTTGCCGAGCAGTACGAGTTTGTGAGTTTTGAAAGACGGGAGTATTTGAGAATTGTAGGCTAGGGCAGTCTAGCAGAGATTCCTTAGGATGCTACGGGCAGGCTAGCAAGACCTTTTGGCCATACTAGCCCCTTTAAACATATTTTTCAGCTCGAAACCCTGAACGCCGACGATCGCGACAAGTTGATGGCCGAGAAGGCCGACGAGCTCGAGTCAAACCTACAATTTTTGGGGGTGACCGGTGTGGAGGACAAACTACAGGTAAATCTCTCTGACTCTCTCGCTCTCTATCTATCTCTCTCTCTCTCTGTCTCTCTAGCTCTCTCACGCTCTCTCTCTGTCTCTCTCTCGCTCCCTCTCTCTCTCACTACCTCCACCCTGTTTCAGGAGGGAGTCTCCGACACGATCACCTCTCTTCGAGAGGCCGGCCTGCAGGTGTGGCTGCTGACCGGAGACAAGCTGGAGACCGCCGAAAACATTGGTAGGCCCGCAAGAATCTCTGCTAGCTTGTCTTGCTTCTAGGACTTGAATCTGTAAAACGGAAACGTTCAGAATAAACGCTAAAAATTAAAATTTTCAGCTCGAGCGTGCGGCTTATTCGATTCACGATACCCGGAAGTGTCTGTATCTACACAGGAGGGATTGGCCGAGATTGTTGGATTGGGCAGGTGAGTGGGAGGGCAAACTAGCAAAGATCATTTGGGAATGAAAGGGGCAGGCTAGCAGAGATCATTTGGGAATGGAAGGGGCAGGCTAGCAGAGGCCCTTTGAAAAAGCAAAAAATTCCGGATGCATACTTACTTTCAGATGCAACATCAAGCTCGCCCCGGAAGCACTGAAAATGCTAAAAGATGGTGATGAAAAGCTGCTGGATATCGTGAAGAGGTACGGTAGCTGGGGCTCGTTGTAGGAACTTGATTTTCAGGAGTGCTTCTGTGCTTTGCTACCGAATGACGCCGGCCGAGAAAAGCGAGGTGGTCGGATGTGTGAAGCGGAAATTCAAGGGGAGGGTGCTGGCGATAGGTGAGAGAGAGAGAGAGAGAGAGAGAGTGAGAGCGAGCGAGCGACAGAGCGAAAGATATTCCAATTTCTGAATCTCTAGGCGACGGCGCCAACGACGTCCCGATGATTCAGGCGGCCCACGTCGGCGTTGGGGTCAGCGGAAACGAGGGAATGCAGGTAAAACCCGAAAAGTTACTTTCCGTGGTATTTAGGACCAAAATCCTTTAATAAGTACAACCTTACAAGGTATCTAAAACCAAAATACCTAGTAAATATAACGTTTACAAAATTATTCGATTTTGCAGGCGGTGATGGCGTCAGACTTTGCGATCGCGCGCTTCCGCTTCCTCGAACGCTTGCTGCTGATCCACGGCCACTGGAACTACGACCGAATCGCGAATACTTACCTTTATTTTCTATACAAAAACGCTGTAAGTTTTCGGGGTTTTAAAAAGTAAGTTCTTCCTTTGCAGCTGCTCGTGTTCATCATCTTCTTCTGCCAATTCTACTCGCTTTTCTCCGGCGAGAGCCCTATGGACCCAATATATTCAATGTTGTACTCAATTATATTCACTAGGTATGTAGAAATGTCTTTTTAATAAAGTAAATTCTTGCAAACTGGTTACATCCTTAATTTTCCAGCGTTCAACCGATCATCTACGGCATCTACGACCAGTGCAACGAGGGAAAATCTCTTATTGAGCGGCCTTCTTCCTACAGGTAAGAAAAATAGGCTAAAAACTTTAAAAATCATTTTACAACTCAAAAATATGCCTTTATACGTTTTACCCGCTATTTATGAAGCCTACATGTCATAAAATAAAATATAACATTTCTGAATTAATTCCTAAGCCAAATTATATGAATTTTTAACATTGCGCCTCATTCTTAAAGCCTGCAACCTTCAAAGTCTCAGTTTTTTTGTCTTTTAAGGATAAAACTTTTAGAAAAACGATGGAAGGACGCTGCTACTCGTGGAAACTCTTCTTCTTCAACATTGGCGATGCTTTATACCAGGGCGCCGTTTGCTACTACATTGCGCATAACGTAAGTCTTCCGAAAAACCTGAAAAAGCAAGAAATCTTGAAGATTTTTGTTTCTATAGGTCCTTAAAACCACATATTACTAGCCTATCGTTTAAACAAACTGGTGTTGTAAAGAAAAACATTTCTAGTGGGCCTACGGCGCGAACGTCGGCCTCTGGGAGTTCGGCTTCATCCTGGCCACCTCCATGTTTTTGTGCAACACGTTCCACTTGGCGTTAGAAGTGCGATGTTGGGTATGAAGTCACCAAAAAGCTAAAAATCTTCCGCTTTTTTAGACCTGGCCGATTTGGTCGATTTTCCTCTTCTTCACGGTCCTCCATTTCGGCTTCTTCCTTGCCTACCATGCGCTATGCGGCCCGTGGAGTGGGCTTTATGGGCCGCCGATTCTCGTCTCGTTCCGCTCGATGAGTAAGTTTCGAAAAGGACGGCTAGCAGTGATCATTGGGGAATTTCTCAACAATTATTCTAGCGCAAGCCAGCTTCTACATTGTCGAATTGCTGACGGTCGTCACTGCTCTAATACCCAGGTAAAATAACGTCTATGACTAACCTAAATCAAGCAAGTGAATTCGCCTAAAAGAAAATAACACGAATTTCAGACTCATCTACCGCGTCTACCTCAGCAAAAGAGAGGGCAAACTCGGCAGCGAGCTCACGTTTTGCGGAATTAGCGTATAATTGTTTTTTTTTCATAGTTTTCTGCCATCCTTATTGCCTCAATATGTTGTGATCTCATCCTCGACCTATACCGGTACCTCGGTGATCCATTTCTGGGTAAATAGCTAGTCGACTAGTCGTTGTTTTCCTGCGAATAAAAGATTATTCAAGAAAAAGTTTATACACCGCAATGCGTTAGTCAAAAATATCGTTGAGAAAGTCGTCGATCTCGTGCTCGACGGTTCTTTCTGTTTCGGCTTGCTGAGGCGCTGACCAGATTTCGCCGGCTGTCTTCGCTTGCGCAGATGAGCTGCCGGCCGATTCGCTTGACGCTTCTTCTCCTTCAGTGGGCTCTCGTTTCGGGCTTGGATCGGATTTTTTCGACTTGCTGCCGGCTCGCCATCGATCCAATCGATTCGTTTTCTCCACCTAAATTAGGTATTACAAATCCTTTTCGAAAAATCACCACCTTTTTCTTTTTGCTCACATAATTCAGCTTGTCCGAGCACTCGGGGCACAACCGCACTTTCACCAGCGCATCTTTCCGTTGCCCATCCTCCACGTATTTGAAATTTACCTAAAAGGAAATGAAATTGCTTTAAAAATCTGCAACCTCCCAGCTCGTCAACGAATCAAAATGTTCACATTTCCGCGAGCCGCATTTGAATTGCCCTTTGCCCTCTTTCACCTAAAACAGAAAGATAGATTCGAAAAAAGAAAACTAAAAACCTCGGGCTCCGTTCGCCATCGCATCCCAATCTTGCCGTGCTTATACTGGGAGAGATCCACAATGCAGTATTCTAGAAAAAAAAGAAACATCTATGGAATGCGTGAAGGCATACCTTTGAAGAGCTTGTCATAATACCTCTTCGCCAGCCGCTTTTCCCAGTCCTTTGACGTCTGTGCTTCGTCTTCGGCATTCCAAAGAAATTTGTGATTGTCCTAGAAGCAAGATGGGCGTAATTGCAAGTAAAATACCTTTAAAACATCATAATCCGTCCGATCTCTTGTCGTATCTCGTTCAAAGAGGTGCCGATTTGCGCCAGGGTGATAGAGGTAGTACAAATTGATGATTTCCTTGTGCCGCTGGTACGCGTCGAGCATCGCCAGGCGGGAGAGTTGACTAAACAAAAATCCGATTTGCAAAATAGGCAAAAGTACCGAAATTGCCGGCCGTGTTCATCCTGAAACCATCTCTTCCCCTCCTTCGGTAGCGGCTTCGGCTCCTCGTAGGGGCGCTCCTTTTCGAAAAAATCGCCTCTTCGTTTCTTACCGAAAAAAACTAGGTTGGAAACCTTTAAAAAGCTTACCAGATCTTTCAGCGCTTTCAGTCGGGTCAAAATCTGACGAGAGATCGTCGAGACCAAAATCTGGGTTCCGCTTCACGGCCATACCTGAAAAAATAAGCATAAAAAATTTAAAACGCAAAAGTCAGTTTTGGGGAAAGCAAAAAAGTAAAGTATCGATTGATAATATTAAATGCACAAATTTGTACAAATTTGTACTTTGTACAAAATCTACAGTATACTCGAATGCCATTCCGCACCATTCCACCTTACGGTTTGTTGCATTTCGGGGCCGCCGAATTCCGAAATTTTTTTGTAGTTTTCGAATTTCGCGCAAAATCTTGAATTTGCTTCAGCAATTTATCGTTTTTCTTTTCCATAATTATATATTTATTGATTATAGTTATACTTTATAAATAAGCGCAACTGGCTTCTCCTTTCCCGATTTGGCTCGCTGCCTTCAAAACCTTTTGACTGCGATTGGCCCAATTTGGAATGGGTATTTCTAGTGCGTATGCGGAGAATATCCATTGCCCTGATAACATCTTTCGTGGCTCTTTTTTTTTGGACGTCGAGCAGCCTCTCGTTGAGCCGGTTCGAACACCGCCCGGCCTGTTGACCTGAATCCCGGTCGCGTCCTCCCTACACCCGCCCCTTGTGCGTTCCCCGTGGGGCAGTCTGCGTCTCCCCAGTGAAGGTATTGTAGAGATCTTGACTTGCCACGCGTTCCCCGCGGCCTGTCCACCCGCAGTCCAATCGAACCAAGGGCATTTTCGTGGCCGGCGGCCGGGCGCCCCGATTCCCCTACCCCTTTATCGGCCCCTTTCTCTGCCCGCAATCAACGGGATTGGGCAGAAGCCCGGAATTTTCAAAATTTAGGATTCCGTTTTATAACTCTGTGAACCTTTTTGGGTGTTTCGGAGACCTCTGGCAGTTTCTTGAGTAAATGCGCGTTGTTTCTAGCTTCCCAATCTCGCATCTCTTCAAAATCTTTGACGTATCTGCTGCAAAAGGGTATTGGTATCGGTGGCTTTACGGTATCATTACAGTTTGCTGTTACTCGCTTTGTCCTGTCCGTCACTGGGTAATGCCAGAGTGGCTGGCAAAATAGGGATTAGCCCTTCGCCCGACCCAACACCCAAAACGGACCCCCGCTCACCCAACACCTGGTGCCCAAAAATAGTTGTCGGCGGGCAATAGGCGAATAAATGCTCCATTTCCCCTCTCGTCTCCTAGCACCCACATCCCATCTCCATGCTTTTTGGAATGTTTCCCAGCCTTTTACACTAAAAAATGGGTCAACAAGATGCTTGTTGAACCCTTTTGTTTTTATAGCCGAGCCGTATCGGAGGCTGCCCCCCTACTAGCCCCTTATTTTCGCTTACTTATCCAAAGCTTTGGGGGTGGTGAAGCGGGAAGGAGAACTGGGTTGTTTGGGGACCTAGTTTCACGTCGCCGCCCCGGGGCGAGCCCCTATTTGCGCCGGGGTTCTCTCGTTTGCTCTCGACGGGCTAACCGTGACCTCGACCCGCGCAGGACCTGTGGCCTTCCCATCAATCGTTAGCGAAGTCGTAGATTGACCTCCGGCGTTTAGTCCGATCGCCTTCTTTTAGTTTGAAAAATGGATTGCTGGCGCTATTTTGCATTTTATTTTTTTGAAACTAACTGGGGTAAGGAGAGTGTGTTTAATTGTTGAAAAGGCATTAATAACGGGTTCTTGACCTTCAAAACTGATCGATTTATCTGCGGGTCATCTGTTCCCAGCTACCGGAGGCTAGTACTCATTGCAGTTCGCCGCGGGGAGTGCCCTTCTAATTCCTCCACACCCGACATCTCCTGATTCTATTATCCTTTTTGCTCGCTCGCTCCGTTTGACACATGTCAATTCCAATTTATCAATTTTCCAAATGCTTTGCCTCTCTTCCTTATCAGCGCCATTGCAGGACTGTTAGTGTGGAGTCCATCCCACTTGGAGCCCTCTCCTTCCCGGATCGCCGACCCAGCCCACGGAACGGTATGTTTTATGTTGGGAATTCTAACTTCGATTTTCTAGGAATAGCCCATCGATTGCTACGAGAATGGACCACGGACCCGGAATTCACCAAAATGGAAAGCACGGCGAGGTGAACGGCAACGACGAGAATGTGCTCCAGATGGACTACACCACCGAATTCCCCGGACTACCCGCCGCTACGCAGGGCAAGCCAGCAGCTGGCGCCTGGGGTCAGCCTCGTGCCGCTGTTCGTTCTACTACCGTATCTCAGGTAATATTTTGCTTAATATGAGGTGGTCGCAATGCTGAGAAAATTTCATTTTGTATGTTTCAGGTCTACACCCTCACCCCGGACCAGCGTGCCTCCAAGTCGATGAAGCAATTCGGAAATGAGGAACAGAAGCGCTGCCAGCAGATCGCCCAGGCCACTCAGACCCGAATCGAGCTCAGCGAGTCCAAGGATGGGTCCCTCACCGTCATGATCAAGGGCACCCGGCCGCACGTGGAGGAGGCGCACGCCAAGATCGTTCGCGAACTTCAGACCCAACTTTCCAAGGAGATCGAGATCCCCAAGGAGCACCACCGCATTCTGATCGGCAAAGCAGGCGAAACTCTGCGACAGCTGGAGGCCGAGACAAACTGCCGTATCCATGTACGTTTTGTCCTGGGTACATTTTGCTTTGTGTTTTTATATCGCGGTTTATAACATTTATTTAGATCCCGGGTCGTGATGACGCCCACAAGGCGATCAAGATTACGGGGCCCCGCGACGGAATCGAGAAGGCGCTCGCCCACATCAAGCGCGTCTCCGATCAACAAGCCAAGCTCGCCGTCGAGAAGATCCGTTGCCCGAAGGTGCTGATCCCTTGGGTCCGCGGGCCCAACAATGAGCTGCATGATCAACTCGTCGCCGCGCACAGTGTCAAGATCAACATCCCGCCCCCGGCTGCCACCGATGAGACGATCGTCATCACTGGAGAACGGGAGGGTGTCGCCAAGGTCGCCGCCACGCTCAAGCAGATCATTTCGGAGAAGGAGCGCGTCGTCAAGAGTGTTACTTGCGAGGTAACATTTTTAAGTGGTTTGAAAAAAGTTTGATTTAGGTCGCCCGAGCTCAACATCGTTACGTCATCGGCCAGCAGCGCAGCGGTCTCCACGAGATTCTGCGTGAAACCGGTGTCAGCGTCGAGGTGCCGAACGAGGATCAAAACAGCGACACTATCACCCTTCGCGGAGATCCCGCAAAGCTCGGAGATGCGCTTGCTCGCGTCATCTCGCGCGCCTCTTCCGTCATCACCGCACAGGTAAATTTTTGGTTTTGCAAGAAAACCGCATTGTCTTATATTTATATTGACGTTTTTTTTTAGGTTGCTGCCCCCACATGGCTACACAAGCACCTGATTGGCCCGAAAGGCACGACTTTGGCTGCCCTCCTCCCCAACCGCGACAAGGTGCACGTTGACTTCGACGATTCGGGCGCAATCTTCCTCGAGGGCCCACCGGGCGAGGTCAAGGCCGTCCAGGAAACGCTCGCCGGCGAGGTGGCCCGTCTCACCAAGGACATGGCCATCGAGAAGATCAAGGTCCACCCTACCCTCCACCGTCACGTCATTGGACGGTAACGATTGTATATGTGATCTTTACTTTCTGTTTTAGTGGTGGCGCTCTCATCGGCAAGATCAAGGACGAGACTGGCGTGCAGATCACGGTACCCAACGAGAAGACGAACAGCGATGAGATCATCGTTGAGGGCAAGAAGGCCGGCGTGCAAAAGGCCGTGTCCGAAATCCGCCAGATCGTCTCCAAGATCGAGAACGAGAAGTCCCGCGACATCATCATCGAGCAGCGTTTCCACAAGTTGATCATCGGCCAGAAGGGAGGCGAGATCCAAAAGCTCCGCAACACCTACCCCTCGGTCGTCTTCTCCCTGCCCGAGGCTAACAAAAAGAGCGACGTGATCAACCTTCGCGGTGATAAGAACGAGGTCGACAATGCCTACAAGCAGCTGCAAAAGATTGCCAAGGACTTGCTCGAGAGCAACTACCAGGAATCCGTTCCTGTCTTCAAGGAGTTCATCAAGCACATCGTCGGCAAGGGTGGCGTCAACATTCGCAAAATTCGCGACGAAACCAACACCCGCATCGATATGCCAGAGGGAGGCAGCACCGACGACAAGATCTACGTCACCGGCAAGAAGGAGAACGTCGAGAAAGCGGTTGCTCAGATCGAGAAGATCCAAAGCGAACTCGCATCCATCGTCAACCTCGAAGTTATCATCCCGGTCAAGGTGCAGTCTCGTCTGCTCGGCGGTGGGCGCCGTCTCATTCTCGACATCCAAGAGGAATGCGGTGGCGTGCACATCAAGTTCCCCTCGGAGAAGAGCGAGTCCGAAAAGGTGACCGTCCAGGGGCCCCAAGCTGATGCCGAGAAGGCCGTGGCACTCCTCGAGAAGATGGCCAAGGATAAGCTTGACACCCACGAGGACACGCTTAAGGCCAAGCCCGAGTTCCACCGCTTCCTCATCGGCAAGGGAGGATCCCGCATCAACAAACTGCGCGAGCAGTACGATGTGCGCGTGATGTTCCCGCGCGAGGACGACCAGGACAAGGAGACCATCCACCTCCTGGGCAAGAAGGAAGACGTTGAGTCGACCAAGAAGGAGCTGGAGGCCCTGATCAAGCAGCTCAATGAGACCGTTGAACTGACGGTCGAGGTCCCGGCCAAGTACCACAAGAACTTCCTGCTCCGCGGTGCGCATCTAGTCAAGGAGATTCAGGTATTACCCCTTTTTTTTGTTTCTGAAAAACAATTTTATTTTAGGACTCGAATGGTGGTGTGCAGATCTCGTTCCCGAAACAGGCTGATGGCGGGTCGACTGTGACGATCAAGGGCTCGAAGCAATGCGCCGAGTCTGCCAAGCAGCGTATCGAGGATGTCGTCGAAGATTTCGAGCACCACGCCTCCATTCAGGTTTGTTTTTGTTTTTCCATTGTCGTATTTCAATTTTTAGGTCGAGATCCCTGCCCAGTACCACCGCTCCATCTTGGCCGGCCGCGGCCAGAAGGTTCACGATCTGCAGACCCAGCACGGTGTTCACATCCGCTTCCCGGACCGTCGTCAAGAGAGTAGGAATTTGATTTCTTATCTTATTCTTGTTTTTAGACGCTGAAAACGGCCCTGATGCCAACATTGTCACGATCAGCGGACGCGACACCAAGTGTGAGGCAGCTCGTGAGGCCCTGCTCGCTCTGGTTCCGATTAGCAAGCAGGTTAGGAATCACGCTTTGGCCCCTCTCCCCTCTTAAAATTTTGTATTCCATTGTTCTCCTTACCTCTTCCATTTTTCAATTTTTATCCTGTATTTTTTGCCCCTCAGTTGACGTTCCGGTCGAAAATAAACGGTTTGCGTAGGAAATGTGAATTATCACTTTTCGACTCTATTGTGCGCTTACTTAATTCATTTTTTAGGTCACCGTTCCCTTCGAGATGCATCGCTTCTTGATTGGCCGTGGTGGCGAGACTGTGCGCAAGATCATGCAAGACTGCGACGTCAACATCGCCATCCCGAAGGAGGAGCAACAGACGGAGGAGATCACCATCACCGGAGCCCACGAAGCCGTCGAGTTGGCCATCCAGGCCATCGATGAAAAGCGCGTCGAGTTCGATGCCCAGGCCGAGGACCGCCGCCTGAAGAGCTGGGAGCTGGAGCTTGAGGTGAACTTTGGCTTGCGTTCGTGGATCAAACGCCTGTTTAGATTCCCGCCATCTACCACCAGAAGATCATCGGACCCCGCGGAGCCACCGTCAACCAGATCCGCCAGAAGCACGACGTCCAGATTTCGCTGCCACGCGGCGAGGACCGTTCGGACAAGATCACCATCCAGGTATGGTTTTTGTCTTTAGGAACCATGAGTAGTCTGCGTGTCTGCCCTTTTCTTGAAGCCATTCTCTTGTTTCCTCTAATTTCCGGGTGCTATGAAACGACTGAGCGGCTTTCCTTCTTTTAGCAGTCTATCTAATCTTCGTTTTTAGGGATATGAAGCCAACGCGCGTGCCTGCGCCGAAGAAATCGAGGAGATGCTCGCCGCCCTCAAGTCGATGGTCACTCAAGAAATCTCGCTCGATGCCCGCTTCCACCCGCGCCTCATCGGCCAACGCGGCAAGAACCTGAAGCGCGTCATGGACGAGTTCGGCGTCGAGATCACGCTGTCCCGCGACGACGCCGACCCCAACAAGGTCGTAGTCGCCGGCAAAAACGAGGACTCCGTCTGGGACTGCATCGACTACCTGCGCCAAGAGGAAGAAGACTATCTTGCCGAGCATCAGGACCGCGTGAGTGTTTTTGCAAAATTTGTTTTGATTCAGAAGGTGTCGTTGCATATATAAAATCTTTTTTCAGAGCCAGTACATGTCGCAGCGTGCCCCGGTGGCCGAGCAGAAGCCCAAGCAGCAATCCGTCCAAGTCAAGAACGCCCCATGGCAGCTGTCGGACGGCGACTTCCCGGAGATGGGCGGCGCCCCCGCCATGTCCGGCACGACCGGCGTCTGGGGATCCGGTCGTCGCTTTTAATTGAACCGAATAAGATTCTATTTATTCCCCCCACGATTGTTTGTTGTTTTGCCCCGAAAAAATTCGTTCATTGTTAAAGCCTTGTGATCCGGGCGAGTGTCACACCCAACACGCGCCCGCCAGATGCATGGGTACCCATTTTTAGTGCCTTCACCCCTGTTTTTCTTGCAAGAGTCCCCCAAAGAACTATTCCTGTGCTATTGTGTCTGTGTTGTTTTTTGGTTGAGTAGCCCTACTTGTGTATTCTGTGTAAGGGTCATTTAATAAAGTCATACAATTACTTTCTATATTTCTCTAGGAACAGTGGCAAAAGTCCGCTTCGCGGTCTGGGCGCCGTCCAGGAATCATGAATTCACATCTTTTCGGGGTTTTCGGTTCGATCTTTTATAAAAATTCGCGAGTTGCGGGAATCGAGAATTATAACTTTGTGCGTCTTTTTGCGGCGAATCCGATGACGAAAAGAGTTTTTTTGTCAATATCGTAATTTTCGAGAAATCGGGGATACGGTAGTTTCGAAAAGTACAAAATCGCTTGTTTCGGATTTTCGACAACACGAAATGGTAGCCGTGGTTGTGGCGAGCATTTCTGTACCGATATCGGGATAGGTGGCGTGGAAGTGGGGGGCGGTAGAGGCGTGGGAGTGGCGGCGTCGCCAAGGGGTACGTGCGTATCTCGGTGCGTAGCGTAGTTGGAGGGAAACGGAGTCGATATTCGGATTCAGCGTGAAAAAGTGATCTAGGGGAAAGCTAGTGCGTATTTTTGGGGTTACTGGGAAAGGAGCAAATTGGCTGAGAATGTGGGGCTACCGTAACCCTGGAGTACCGAGTTTTTGAGCGGAAAAATTGCAAGTTTTTGGGGTTTTTTCGAGTGGAATGGGTGCGGTGGGTGGCAGTTGGGGATTTGAAGAAGAAAACAAGGGGTTTTGATGGATTTTGGATGTAGGGGGGCAAAAGGAAGGAATTGCCGTGGATGGAGGTGGAACTCGGGCAATGGGGAGCAGGAGTGTGAAATGGAGGGTCGGGCCGTGTTCACTGGCAGCCAGCTCGATGGGAACCGTTGAGAGCGTATTTTTAGCGTGTAAAACCGCGAAGATACGATTTTTTGGCCTAAAATTGAGGTGGTTTTTTGGAAAAATCGCTGTATCTCGAAGGATACGGTAGTTGGAGGGAAACCGAGTAGATATTCGGAATCAGCGTCAAAAACTGGTCTAGAAAAGTGTTGGTGCGAAGCGTAACAGTGAGTTTTAAGGAAAACTACCGTATGTATTGCATTCTCAAACCTTGTCAACTCGGAGATAGGCATATTTATAGGCTACAAACTACAACTGCTGGAAGGCGATTATTGGCGTGTTCGGGGCCGTTTATTTAAATTAAACCGATGAATGGAAAAAAAGTGAAAACGTGGAGAGGTAGAAGGGATAGTGCTGAACAGGTGTACTTGTTGAAGTTGTTGGGGAATGAGGTTTTGGGGGTTAAATCGTGGGGTAAAGTCGGGATAATTGACGAATCGAGAGCATTCGTAGACTGTTTTGAGGAAGGTTTCTCTGGCGGATAAAGAGGTATTTGAATAAACTAAAAACGCTACCCGATAGTATCTGGTGCGAGGAAGAGCTGCACGTTTCGGGAATTTGTTTAAAATGTCGATTTTGATGTTTAAAAGTGGTCTACTTTTAGAATATTGTAAAAGTGGCGATTTTGGGTGTTTTGTAAAATGCGGAATTGGGGGCTCGTAAGAAGTATTTATATGTAATTTTGGGTGGGGAATCCGATGGTGTGGTCAGAATTGGATGAAAATGCGTCATTTTGTCGATTTTTCGATATTTATGTCGAAATTAGGGGTTTATGGAAAAGTGGCTGGTAAAGCGCGGAGACGTGGTTTTCGGAATTTTGAGTCGTCGTATCGTATTGCCCGTGCGGAATTACGTATTCTGGCACAATTCCAGATAAAACGAGCGTAATTTGGAATTTTAGGGAATTTTTGAAAAATGGCTCCAAAGGGTGTATAGCGAGAAATAGGGCCATTTTCCGAAAATTGCCAAAAATGTCATTTTTGCGAAAAATCCCGATTTTTCGGGATTTCAAGGAAAAACGGGTACCAGCAGCCACCGTAATCCAAAAACCGTCATTTGGAAACTACCGTAACCCGGAAAATTCCGAAAAATGCCGATTTTTGGGGAAATTCCGGTTTTTCGAGATTTTTAGGGAAAATCGCTAAAAATGACGTTTTCGAAGCTACCGTAACCCAATTAAGGGAAAAACCGTCATTTGGAAACTACCGTAACCCGGAAAATACCGAAAAATGCCGATTTTTCGTTTTTTCGAGGTTTTTAGCGAAAATCGCTAAAAAAGACGATTTTGAAGCTACCGTAACCCAATTAAGGCAAAAACCGTCATTTGGCAACTACCGTAACCCGGAAAATACCGAAAAATGCCGATTTTTGGGGAAATTCCGGTTTTTCGAGATTTTTAGGGAAAATCGCTAAAAATGACGATTTCGAAGCTACCGTAACCCAATTAAGGGAAAAACCGTCATTTGGAAACTACCGTAACCCGGAAAATACCGAAAAATGCCGATTTTTCGTTTTTTCGAGGTTTTTAGCGAAAATCGCTAAAAATGACGATTTTTGGGGAAATTCCGGTTTTTCGAGATTTTTAGGGAAAATCGCTAAAAATGACGATTTCGAAGCTACCGTAACCCAATTAAGGGAAAAACCGTCATTTGGAAACTACCGTAACCCGGAAAATACCGAAAAATGCCGATTTTTCGTTTTTTCGAGGTTTTTAGCGAAAATCGCTAAAAATGACGATTTTTGGGAAAATTCCGGTTTTTCGAGATTTTTAGGGAAAATCGCTAAAAATGACGATTTTGAAGCCACCGTAACCCAATTAAGGCAAAAACCGTCATTTGGAAACTACCGTAACCCGGAAAATACCGAAAAATGCCGATTTTTCGATTTTTCGAGATTTTTAGCGAAAATCGCTAAAAACGCGATTTTGAAGCCACCGTAACCCAACTAAGGCAAAAACCGTCATTTGGCAACTACCGTAACCCGGAAAATACCGAAAAATGCCGATTTTTCGAGATTTTTAGGGAAAATCGCTAAAAATGACGATTTTGAAGCCACCGTAACCCAATTAAGGCAAAAACCGTCATTTGGAAACTACCGTAACCCGGAAAATACCGAAAAATGCCGATTTTTCGATTTTTCGCGATTTTTAGCGAAAATCGCTAAAAATGACGATTTTGAAGCCACCGTAACCCAATTAAGGCAAAAACCGTCATTTGGAAGCTACCGTAACCCGGAAAATACCGAAAAATGCCGATTTTTCGATTTTTCGAGATTTTTAGCGAAAATCGCTAAAAATGACGATTTCGAAGCTACCGTAACCCAACTAAGGCAAAAACCGTCATTTGGCAACTACCGTAACCCGGAAAATACCGAAAAATGCCGATTTTTCGATTTTTCGAGATTTTTAGCGAAAATCGCTAAAAATGACGATTTTGAAGCCACCGTAACCCAATTAAGGCAAAAACCGTCATTTGGAAACTACCGTAACCCGGAAAATACCGAAAAATGCCGATTTTTCGATTTTTCGCGATTTTTAGCGAAAATCGCTAAAAATGACGATTTTGAAGCCACCGTAACCCAATTAAGGCAAAAACCGTCATTTGGAAACTACCGTAACCCGGAAAATACCGAAAAATGCCGAAAATCGCCTTTTTTTACCTATTTCGCGATTTTCTTAAAAAATCCAGATTTTGGTAATTTTTAGACTACAAACTACAAAATCGCGGAAACAGGCTTTCTGTCAGCCAGACTACAGACTACACACTACAGAATCCCGAAAATCCCGACAATCTCCATTTTTTTACCTAATTTCGGGATTTACTTAAAAAATCCGGATTTTGGTAATTTTTAGACTACAAACCACAAAATCGCGGAAACAGGCTTTCTGTCAGCCAGACTACAGACTACACACTACCAAACCACTAAAAATCCCGAAAATCGCCATTTTTTACCTAATTTCGGGATTTTGAGAGCTGGAGCTTGAGGTGAGCTTTGGTTTGTGTTCGTGGATCAAACGCCCGTTTAGATTCCCGCCATCTACCACCAGAAGATCATCGGACCCCGCGGAGCCACCGTCAACCAGATCCGCCAGAAGCACGACGTCCAGATTTCGCTGCCACGCGGCGAGGACCGTTCGGACAAGATCACCATCCAGGTGTTGTTTTTGTCTTTGGGAACTGAGTAGTCTGCGTGCCTGCCCTTTTCTTGAAGCCATTCTCTTGTTTCCTCTAATTTCCGGATGATATGACACGACTGAGCGGCTTTCTCTCTTTTTAGCAGTCTATCTAATCTTCGTTTTTAGGGATATGAAGCCAACGCGCGTGCCTGCGCCGAAGAAATCGAGGAGATGCTCGCCGCCCTCAAGTCGATGGTCACTCAAGAAATCTCGCTCGATGCCCGCTTCCACCCGCGTCTCATCGGCCAACGCGGCAAGAACCTGAAGCGCGTCATGGACGAATTCGGCGTCGAAATCACGCTGTCCCGCGATGACGCCGACCCGAACAAGGTCGTGGTGGCCGGAAAGAACGAGGACTCCGTCTGGGACTGCATCGACTACCTGCGCCAAGAGGAGGAAGACTATCTCGCCGAGCACCAGGACCGCGTGAGTTTTTTTGCAACATTTGTTTTGATTCAGAATGTGTCGTTGCATATATAAAATCTTTTTCAGAGCCAGTACATGTCGCAGCGTGCCCCGGTGGCCGAGCAGAAACCCAAGCAGCAATCCGTCCAAGTCAAGAACGCCCCATGGCAGCTGTCGGACGGCGACTTCCCGGAGATGGGCGGCGCCCCCGCCATGTCCGGCACGACCGGCGTCTGGGGATCCGGTCGTCGCTTTTAATTGAACCGAATAAGATTCTATTTATTCCCCCACGATTGTTTGTTGTTTTGCCCCCGAAAAAAATTCGTTCATTGTTAAAGCCTTGTGATCCGGGCGGGTGTCGCACCCAACACTCGCCCGCAAGATGCATGGGTACCCATTTTTAGTGCCTTCACCCCTGTTTTTCTTGCAAGAGTCCCCCAAAGAACTATTCCTGTGCTATTGTGTCTGTGTTGTTTTTTGGTTGAGTAGCCCCACTTGTGTATTCTGTGTAAGGGTCATTTAATAAAGTCATACAATTACTTTCTATATTTCTCTAGGAACAGTGGCAAAAGTCCGCTTCGCGGTCTGGGCGCCGTCCAGGAATCATGAATTCACATCTTTTCGGGGTTTTCGGTTCGATCTTTTATAAAAATTCGCGAGTTGCGGGAATCGAGAATTATAACTTTGTGCGTCTTTTTGCGGCGAATCCGATGACGAAAAGAGTTTTTTTGTAAATATCGTAATTTTCGAGAAATCGGGGATACGGTAGTTTCGAAAAGTACAAAATCGCTTGTTTCGGATTTTCGACAACACGAAATGGTAGCGGTGGTTGTGGCGAGCATTTCTGTACCGACATCGGCATAGGTGGCGTCGAAGTGGAGGGCGCTAGAGGCGGCGGAATGGCGGCGTCGGCGAGGGGTACGTGCGTATCTCGGTGCGTAGCGTAGTTGGAGGGAAACGGAGTCGATATTCGGATTCAGCGTGAAAAAGTGATCTAGGGGAAAGCTAGTGCGTAATTTTCTCGTTACTGGGAATGGAGGAAATTGGCTGCGAATGTGGGGCTATCGTAACCCGGGAGTACCGAGTTTTTGAGCGGAAAAATTGCAAGTTTTTGGGGGTTTTTCGAGTGGAATGGGTGTGGTGGGTGGCAGTTGGGGATTTGGGGAAGAAAACAAGGGGTTTTGATGGATTTTGGATGGAGGGGGCCAACGGGGAAGAATTGCCGCGAATGGAGGTCGAACTGGGGCAATGGGGAGCCGGAGTGTGAAACAGAGGGTTGGGCCGTATTCACTGGCAGTCAGCTAGATGGGAACCGTTGAGAGCGTATTTTTAGAGTGTATTTCCGCGAAGATACGATTTTTTGGCCTAAAATTGGGGGCGGTTTTGCTAAAAAGCGCTGTAACTCGCCGGATCGGGCAGTTGGAGCGAAACGGACAACAGATTCGGAATCAGCGTCGAAAACTGGTCTAGAAAAGTGTTGGTAAGAAGCGTAACAGTGAGTTTTAAGCAAAACTACCGTATGTATTGCATTCTCAAAGCTTGTCAACTCGGAGATAGGCAAAAAACCAGGCTACAAACTACAGACGCTGGAAGGCGATTATGGACGTGTTTACGTTGATTTATTTAATTTTGTGAGGGGAATTGGAAAAAAGTAAAAACGTGGAGGGGTAGAGGGGATGGTGCTGAACAGGTGTACTTGTTGAAGTTGTTGGGGAATGAGATTTTGGGGGTTAAATCGTGGGTTAAAGTTGGGATAATTGACGAATCGGGAGGTTGCGTAGACTGTTTTGAGGAGGGTTTCTCTGGCGGATAAAGAGGTATTTGAATAAACTAAAAACGCTACCCGATAGTATCTGGTGCGAGGAAGAGCTGCACGTTTTGGGAATTTGTTTAAAATGTCGATTTTGATGTTTAAAAGTGGTCTACTTTTAGAATATTGTAAAAGTGGCGATTTTGGGTGTTTTGTAACCTGTGGAATTGGGGGCTCGTAAGAAGTATTTATATGTAATTTTGGGCGGGGAATCCGATGGTGTGGTCAGAATTGGATGAAAATGCGTCATTTTGTCGATTTTTCGATATTTATGTCGAAATTAGGGGTTTATGGAAAAGTGGTTTTTCATGCGTGTAGACGTGGTTTTTGGGATTTTGAGTCGTTGTATGGTATTGCCGGTGCGGAATTACGTATTCTGGTACAATTCCAGCGTAATTTGGAATTTTGCGGAATTTTTGAAAAATGGCTCCAAATGGTGTATAGCGAGAAATAGGGCCATTTTCCGAAAATTGCAAAAAATGTCATTTTTGCGAAAAATCTCGATTTTTCAGGATTTCAAGGAAAAACGGGTACCAGCAGCCCCCGTAATCCAAAAACCGTCATTTGGAAACTACCGTAACCCGGAAAATACCGAAAAATGCCGAAAATACCGATTTTTCGGCATTTTTAGCGAAAATCGCTAAAAATGACGATTTTGAAGCCACCGTAACCCAATTAAGGGAAAAACCGTCATTTGGAAACTACCGTAACCCGGAAAATACCGAAAAATGCCGATTTTTCGATTTTTGGCGATTTTTAGCGAAAATCGCTAAAAATGACGATTTTGAAGCCACCGTAACCCAATTAAGGCAAAAACCGTCATTTGGAAACTACCGTAACCCGGAAAATTCCGAAAAATGCCGATTTTTGGGGTAATTCCGGTTTTTCGAGATTTTTAGGGAAAATCGCTAAAAATGACGGTTTTGAAGCCACCGTAACCCAATTAAGGCAAAAACCGTCATTTGGAAACTACCGTAACCCGGAAAATACCGAAAAACGCCGATTTTTTGAGATTTTTAGCGAAAATCGCTAAAAATGACGATTTCGAAGCTACCGTAACCCAACTAAGGCAAAAACCGTCATTTGGAAACTACCGTAACCCGGAAAATACCGAAAAATGCCGATTTTTCGATTTTTGGCGATTTTTAGCGAAAATCGCTAAAAATGACGATTTTGAAGCCACCGTAACCCAATTAAGGCAAAAACCGTCATTTGGAAACTACCGTAACCCGGAAAATTCCGAAAAATGCCGATTTTTGGGGAAATTCCGGTTTTTCGAGATTTTTAGGGAAAATCGCTAAAAATGACGATTTCGAAGCTACCGTAACCCAATTAAGGGAAAAACCGTCATTTGGAAACTACCGTAACCCGGAAAATACCGAAAAATGCCGATTTTTCGTTTTTTCGAGGTTTTTAGCGAAAATCGCTAAAAATGACGATTTTTGGGGAAATTCCGGTTTTTCGAGATTTTTAGGGAAAATCGCTAAAAATGACGATTTTGAAGCCACCGTAACCCAATTAAGGCAAAAACCGTCATTTGGAAACTACCGCAACCCGGAAAATACCGAAAAATGCCGATTTTTCGATTTTTCGAGATTTTTAGCGAAGATCGCTAAAAACGCTATTTTGAAGCCACCGTAACCCAATTAAGGGAAAAACCGTCATTTGGAAACTACCGTAACCCGGAAAATACCGAAAAATGCCGATTTTTCGATTTTTGGCGATTTTTAGCGAAAATCGCTAAAAATGACGATTTTGAAGCCACCGTAACCCAATTAAGGCAAAAACCGTCATTTGGAAACTACCGTAACCCGGAAAATTCCGAAAATGCCGATTTTTGGGGTAATTCCGGTTTTTCGAGATTTTTAGGGAAAATCGCTAAAAATGACGGTTTTGAAGCCACCGTAACCCAATTAAGGCAAAAACCGTCATTTGGAAACTACCGTAACCCGGAAAATACCGAAAAATGCCGATTTTTTGAGATTTTTAGCGAAAATCGCTAAAAATGACGATTTCGAAGCTACCGTAACCCAACTAAGGCAAAACCGTCATTTGGAAACTACCGTAACCCGGAAAATACCGAAAAATGCCGATTTTTCGATTTTTGGCGATTTTTTAGCGAAAATCGCTAAAAATGACGATTTTGAAGCCACCGTAACCCAATTAAGGCAAAAACCGTCATTTGGAAACTACCGTAACCCGGAAAATTCCGAAAAATGCCGATTTTTGGGGAAATTCCGGTTTTTCGAGATTTTTAGGGAAAATCGCTAAAAATGACGATTTCGAAGCTACCGTAACCCAATTAAGGGAAAAACCGTCATTTGGAAACTACCGTAACCCGGAAAATACCGAAAAATGCCGATTTTTCGTTTTTTCGAGGTTTTTAGCGAAAATCGCTAAAAATGACGATTTTTGGGGAAATTCCGGTTTTTCGAGATTTTTAGGGAAAATCGCTAAAAATGACGATTTTGAAGCCACCGTAACCCAATTAAGGCAAAAACCGTCATTTGGAAACTACCGCAACCCGGAAAATACCGAAAAATGCCGATTTTTCGATTTTTCGAGATTTTTAGCGAAGATCGCTAAAAATGACGATTTTGAAGCCACCGTAACCCAATTAAGGCAAAACCGTCATTTGGAAACTACCGTAATCCGGAAAATACCGAAAAATGCCGATTTTTCGATTTTTGGCGATTTTTAGCGAAAATCGCTAAAAATGACGATTTTGAAGCCACCGTAACCCAATTAAGGCAAAAACCGTCATTTGGAAACTACCGTAACCCGGAAAATTCCGAAAAATGCCGATTTTTGGGGTAATTCCGGTTTTTCGAGATTTTTAGGGAAAATCGCTAAAAATGACGGTTTTGAAGCCACCGTAACCCAATTAAGGCAAAAACCGTCATTTGGAAACTACCGTAACCCGGAAAATACCGAAAAATGCCGATTTTTTGAGATTTTTAGCGAAAATCGCTAAAAATGACGATTTCGAAGCTACCGTAACCCAACTAAGGCAAAAACCGTCATTTGGAAACTACCGTAACCCGGAAAATACCGAAAAATGCCGATTTTTCGATTTTTGGCGATTTTTAGCGAAAATCGCTAAAAATGACGATTTTGAAGCCACCGTAACCCAATTAAGGGAAAAACCGTCATTTGGAAACTACCGTAACCCGGAAAATACCGAAAAATGCCGATTTTTCGATTTTTGGCGATTTTTAGCGAAAATCGCTAAAAATGACGATTTTGAAGCCACCGTAACCCAATTAAGGCAAAACCGTCATTTGGAAACTACCGTAACCCGGAAAATTCCGAAAAATGCCGATTTTTGGGGTAATTCCGGTTTTTCGAGATTTTTAGGGAAAATCGCTAAAAATGACGGTTTTGAAGCCACCGTAACCCAATTAAGGCAAAAACCGTCATTTGGAAACTACCGTAACCCGGAAAA